TATATAATATATTGTTTTGAATTTATTTCACTTTCTAAAAGAGAGGAAATACCTGTACTCCTACATCCAATTATTGTGCATTGGTGACTTTTAAAACGGAGTTGCCTGATTTCTCAAAGGGGTTGACGGGTTGACTAGTACTTTCGGTCCGCGAGGCAAACTTCTGTGGAGAGCTTCTCGCCCGTGCCAGTGCCACCCACCCTGCCACGTGGACACGCCGCGAGGAAGGGGTGGGAGGACAGGGGGGACAAGGATGGGATGGGACGAGGTGGGGGCGGTATGGGGTGGCGAGGGGCATGAGAGAAGGGCAGTACGGGGGGCCCATGGGGCGCACGAACGCGAGCGGTCGGAAGAGTAGGGGTAGGAGTGACGACGCTCTCCTGCTCCACGCTGCCCTCCTCTTTCCCCTTCTTCATCCGCCCTACTTTCGCGGACATGAATATTAAAGTCTTGCATTTTGCTGCAAGCAGCCTCCTACCCGCTCCCTGGTACACTGCCTCGCCTCAACAGCGTGTTTCATTTGGAGATGTGTTAATCAGATTTAACTCCCACGTGCATAATACGGGTTTCATAATAGGATTCGGGCAGTGGAGACCTTCGCAGCTCACCAACTTAACGTAGCTGCGCTCAAAGAAATGTGAATATAACAGAAAATTCGTTTAAAGGCACTGAAAAAACTAGTGTGGTGTTGTCACATTACAGGTGTGACGCGGAATTACATTCCCTCTCGGACCGCACACAGTTCAAACCTAGCAAAGCAAAATGCCACATCCTTTGCAATAACGATTTTCAACTGAATAAGTTTCTCTACTTCATTAATTGTATTTACCGATATCCAATTTTCAACCACAACTCACCTTTAGAGAATATGTTCGGAAGATTTTGACAGTGTGGGCCGTGCCATCGTTTGGCTGTGTTTGCTCGCCGACCTACGTTTGTCGTCCGCTTCCCCATCAAGATTATCATCATCACCTGCAAGTCAAAGTCACAGCCCCCCTTCCCCAGTCCCCGGCCTCGCCGGCCGCCCCTCGCCGCCACCCTCCTTATCAAAAACTCCCCCAGGATTGCTTGATTGGTGGGGCCTTTGGGGCGCACCAGGAGACGCAGGCAGGCAACGCTGCCGAGGAGTAGAGGGGGTCACCCAAAAATGTGTTGACTTACTGTACGCCCACGTTGATTTTCATCGCAAGGTTGGGCGACAAGGCACACAACATCATCATCGTCGTCGTCGTCGTCGTCGTCGCCGTCGTCGTGGCCGATCGAGAAAGCAAGCAGCAATGGCGCCAAAGGAGGTCAAAAGAAATAAGGGGAACACGAGGAAAATATGAGGCGGGCGGGGAGAAAAGGCATAAAAGGGGGACACGGGAAATAGAAAGGGAGAAAATAACGCGCTTGATCAGGAGGCCCTCGTGTCGACTTGATCGCTTTTAGGGAGAACACGACCCGCCGGTGGGGCGTGTGCAGGGCTGTCGGGAGAGTGGGGCGCAGCCATCGCCGCGAAGCGCAGGAGGTGCGGACAACAAACAGCAACGGGCAACAGTCGATATACAATAAAAACAAGTTTGTGTCTTAAGTTGTTTTCTCACACGAGGTTGGCATACAATGGCAACTTGTCATTGACAATGACAACTGTCCTCCAAACAGTAATGGTCCCACCGCAGCGTCAAATTCGTCAAAAGTGCGCACGGTAAGCACGGGAAGCTCCAAGGGGGGCGAGGGTGGCCCACCATGGTGCGTATGACGACGGGAGACAAGCGCCAGGCTCCCCCCACCCCCACCCCACCCCGTCCGCTCACCGGCCCGGAAGTTCAGGGGATATTATGGAATTCTACAAGCCTCTCCGCAGCAGCGGCCCCGGGGCTGCCGCGGGCCGCGGGTGCGGCGGAGGGGAAGCGTGCAATATGAAGCGCGGGCGGGGCGGGGCAGGGTGGGGCGTGGGCGGCCCCGCGGCGCTCGCAGGGAACCAGCTGGAAACCTCTTCCCTCTCAAACTCCTGGAAACCCCTCTTCTCGTGCGCGGGCGTGCGCGCGGCCATGGCGCACTCCGGATGGAACGGATCGCAACCTTCCGGTTCCGGTAAACACGGAGCGTTTGGCGCCGGCGGGCCGAGAGGGTAGGATGGTCGCAATAATAGTTCAGATTGCAGGCCACAATGTTACGAAAATAAACCTCACACCGCACACGGTATTTAGAAAATGTCCGATGTTTTGAGAAAAAAACAAGGTAAAACTTTCGAGAACTTCATAGTTTGCGGAAAACTTCTCATAGTTTTCGAGGTCTCCACTAAAAGTGTGGACATTTTTCCCATTTATTGTTGATGAAATAACCTCAAAATCTGACAAGTTTCCTCAAAGTAACAGAAGAAAGGTTTTGCGTTTTTAAATTTTTCTCATAAAATCACGCACTGATTTTGCCGTGCAGCGAGAACAAATTAGTACTGTAGTTTGCAGCGGGAGACCGCAGGAGAGACGGTGGAAAAGATCACACGTGTGATGTACAGTACTCTTCCGACTGCGCGGTCGATACCCGTCGATACCAAATTTGTAGCAGTCGGGGATAGTAACCAAAACCCACTGTCTGGGTCGCACTCAAGGCAGGTGTCTCGCCTACGACACGCCGAGCGACACGTACACGGTCGAGGCCGGTCTTGTCCATCACCGATCACCGGCAGCGGCTACTTGGCGCCTTACGGAGGGCGAGTAGGCAACCCACCCGCACGCGTGCAAGTGGCACAGTCTACCTACGGAAGAGGGCGGGGCGAATCAGCCGCCTCCGGGGTATATTCCAAAATGCCATGGGAAGCTGAGCGCTCTTTCCTGGCAATGTACGCTGCGCTGGCCCGGGGGGAGGGGCCGCAGGACCGGAGGGGGCGAGGCGGAGCCTGTGTCTGGACCCGGGGCGGGCTTATCTCCGCGTCCCATCGGAGCTGGGCGCTGCCTAACCGGGAACCCTACGGACCCGGGACAGAAAATGGCCGCCACACTCATGGCGTCCTGTGGAAGGATATTATTAGGGTTACAAAACTTACCCTGGGAGCTACGTAGCGTAGCAAGGTATCCAACAGGCAACAGCAACCTGTAATGCATAAACAGTTTATTTTAGTTTTGAAAGCCACTGAAAACAGTTCGGCTCGATCCCGAAAAAGTAAAATATTTATCATACCAGGCAAAAGAAACGTTAACGATTGTCATTTTTTAATCCTTTTTTGCGTTTATTAAAACAAAGCAAAGCGATTTTTTGGTCGTCGCGTTGGGTGGTCCGGGACTCATATGCGGACCCGGGCAGGTGTTGGTCGGGTCATAACAGAATCGGAAAGAGGGGAAGGGGGACCGGTGGCCTCTTGTTTACCAATCAAACACTGGTGTGGAAAGCTGGAAACAAAAGATGGCGTGCGTCTGAGGCAAAACGCGCCGCTTCCACGCCTTGGGACCTGGCGTCTGCTTTGTCGGCCTGGCGTCGTCGGAGAGGGAGAGGGCAGAGAAAGAGAGAGATATAGAGAGAGAAGGAAGAGGGGGGGGGGGGGGGCAAAGGCCGCGAGAACCTTACCTCACGTATAGCTCCAAAGGGAAACAACTCTTAGGCGGCTCTACACTCTCAACGCCGTGGTCACCTTGCTTGACAAAATTTTGGCTAATTTTCGCTTTAAACCAAATGTTTGCATTCCTTTAGAAAGTACAAATTTTGGTACCCTTTGATGCTGACCGAAATTTGGTCTTCTCCAAAAGAATCCTAAAATTTGGTCTTCAACGTGGCCAAAAATTGGCTAACCTTTAAAAAGAGAGTGATATTTTGGCAAGAAAAGAATTAAAAAGTGGAAGGATCAATAAGAATACGTAGCATAAATAATATTAAATGTTGAAGGACGAGGGAAGGTGCAAGCTAGCGGCCTTAAAGCAGTTGTTTCTTTCTTGTTTTAGCACATAGCTAATTTAAAACTCCGAAGGGATTTTGCAACAGTTTCATTTCTATAAATTACAAGGCAATACCATACACGGAACCATTACATACCGTGGGTGCACTGCATCGCACCAACAGGGCAAGGCGCGTCGCTCGCGCGGTTGACACCGGGGACAGAAGAGTAAGGGGTGGAGGAGACGGGGGGCGTGGGGAGGGGGGTAGTAGAGGACAGGAACCGGACATGGAGGACCCTCGACGTCACTCAGTGCGCGACGGGTTCTCCTCCACCCCCCTCTCCTTTTACCTCCTCCCGCTCCCCTCACCTTCCTCTGTCTTCCCCAACACTTCTCCCTGTTCGCCGCCACGTCGTCGTCACCAAGGTGTAAAGGAAATTGCACCTGCGATGTAAGGAAGTGGCGGCAGCAGGAGCAAGGGCCGGACGCGTTGTGGCGCGTGCACAGCAAAGATCAGCAACGCATCTGTTTGTTACATCGCGGTCCTGCTTTCGGGTAATTAGGCTTTTTTATTCAAAATTTTAAAAAGATTTGACTGAAAAAGTAAAATGAAAACTTTACAAAGCTTTTTTAGAGATCACCTGAATTACCACTGAGATGCAAGATTAAAAGTTAAGAAGAATTCACACGGTAAAAACGACGTCCTGGTTTTCATGGCGGTTTGGGAAAACCAAGACGTCCCCCCCTCAACAAAAGTTTCAAATACGTGTTTTTTAATAAAATTCCTGAGGGTTGAATAAAATTCTAAACATTTTACTGAAAACCCAAGGCAGAAAAATGTAAGCATTCAAGGCCATTATCCCTTTCCTTCGGTTAGACTACTCAATAACCACAACAAACCACGCTCTCCATGCAAGGTTTCCGTTCGCGACCGCACGTGCAGCGCTCTCGGACGCCCATACCATACGCTGCGCCGGCGACATGGGTGGTGGCGGCGGCCGGCCGCGCACTCCAGCGCGCTCCAGCAAGACCATTGTTGTGGTACATTGTAGCGACTACAATACGAACAACAACAAGGTCCCGGCCAGAGTGTCATATCACAATGGCCCGATGAGTGGCGCCCCCTCAGAGCAGCATTCCGCCTCAACACCTCCGCGCTCGCCGCGCCCCGCCGCGCCCCCACCACACCGCAGACGCGCAACGCCTTAGTCGGTTCATTCATCGAGCAATCATGCATGTTCTGTGCGTGTAATATAGGTCATTTCAAAACCTGCGTTGTTTCAGGATTTTCACATTCTTCGCGTTGAACGTGCAGCCATTCAAGGTTTTATTACAAATTGGATCCGTTCTCAGTATTATTTGATGCAATATTAGCATCTTGGAAGCTGCGCTGAAGGTTGCGTGTCAGTGCACTGGATAAAACATGTCTCTTGTCGGGGGTGTTAAAATCCCACTTGACACGAATTTAACAATTGTCAGTTTATTTCCCAGCTCCATTTTCCCGCCCGATTCCGCGCAGTGTTCATCCTATCCAATCCCCCCGTCGTCCCCTTTTCCCCCGACGTGGATTTCACGCCGAGTGTCACGTACGTCCCTGCGCCTGACGGTGGTTGTATGGTTCGAGCAGATATTGTTGGCAACTCTATCACGCGGCCCGCGCGCGCCAGTGTAAATACAGCAACAATATTGCTACACTCGACAACAATTGTCGCGGGGTGGCGCGCGGTTGAGGCGGGGGTGAAGCGCGCGCTGCGGCACTCGACGATCAAGCCGCGCAAAAACGTCGGCTGCAGATCCCAACTCAGCGCGAAAAAAAAACAACACTATGGCGAAGGCCATCGAAAAACGGAAATATACCTTCTGTGTAAAATATGGAACTAAACACAGCGTGATTTTCTTTCATTCTAATGCACCTTCCCCCTTTCCCCGTAAACTATAGCTACACGGTTGGGTATAGTATAGAGGTTCCAGCGATCGACCGGCCAAAAGCTCTCTCACCACTCTCTATCTCTGCCCCCCCCCCC